CAGGGCAGTTGAGATGGGATGTGAGGAAGAATTTCTTTGCTGAAAGGGTTCTGAGGCATTGGAAGGGGTTGCCCAGGGCAGTGGTGGAGTCCCCATCCCTGGAGGGATTGAAGAGTGGTGTAGACATAGTGCTGAGGGACATGGGTTAGTCGGGGACTTGTCAGTGTTGGGTTCATGGTTGGACTCAATGAGCTTAAAGGGCTTTTCCAGTCAAGGCAATTCTGGGATTCTGTGATATCCCAACAAGGGAAATGTTGGCTTTTCTTGACCAGCCCCATCCTAACAATCCCGAGCACCAGCTTCCCAATGGCTTCCCTCAGAAAGCAAATATAAGGCAAGGGCCCAACCTGCAAGAGGCTCCCAGGCCATGGCACAGCAAAGCCTGTACTTTTCCTGAGCACAGCATCTTGCACAACACCTCGACAAGCAGGAAAAAGCCCCTGGTGCTGCCTCAGGGCCTCCTGTGAGGATTGAGGCAGTTCAGCTGTGGGCACCACACCACTGCAGGGTACACAGGTGCTGAGCCCTGTGATGGGACTCTGCCCTTTCTGGTTGGGTCAGTGCTTTCTTCTAGAGCAACTTTTGCCAGCAAATATCATGTGCCTTCGCCACCAACCTTCTGCAGGACTGGTTGTCATCCCAGGGCCGGCAGAGATGGTGCTGCGTGCTCTGGCTCGTTAGACGTGCCACGGCAAGTGAGGTGGCTGCAGCCCTGCCAGGGCACTGCTCTCACACAGGGCTGTGCTCCAGGCAGTTGGGCACTTGGCTTATGGTTATGTCACGAGAGTGCAGAGAGCTGGGGCCACGAGAGAGGGAAGGCTGGGGAATAATCTCACCCGAAAAAATGGAGAAAGGAAGAAAAAGTGAAGGCTAACAAGGTCAGGAAGGAGAGGAAGACTTGCTTTAGCTCCTCCTGGTAATGATGGGGTGCCTGTGGCAGCGTTACCTGTGAAGCCAGGACAGGCAGTGGGAGAGGAGGGTACTGGATCCCACCCCTGCAGGCACCCCGAACAAAGCAGACATCGGTGCTTTTGGTTCAACACACACACACCCGTTGCTTGCTCAGCTTCCCAGTGCTCCCCCAAAGCACTGTGTGGTGGTGCCAGATCCCAACACAGTCTTGGAACTGAGTAAAGGAGGGACAGTGGCCAGACCAGGCCTGAAGCCACAGGAAGATGACAAGTCCCTGAGTGTGCCCACACTGGGTCTGTGGTACCGAGAAACAATCCTCTGCCTGCAGTCAGGGATGGGGAAGGCAGCATCCTTCCCCGCTCCCCCTGCCTCAGCCCAGCCACCATCCAGCCCTTCTCAGGCACCACCAGCTCCTGCCACAAAGGAAGTGGGGACAAATGGAAACATCCAGCTTGGCACCGGTCACGGTTTTGGGGAGGGAGCCCTGCCAGCCCATGTGCAAGCTCCATGTGGTCTGGCCCAGCTCAGCCTGCCTCACGGCAGGGAGCTCTGACAGACCATCAGGAACTGCCAAGCAGTGGAGAAACACAGAATGGTATCTTGATGGACCAGATGGGGTTGTGCTTGTCCTGTGCCACCGCCTGCTCAGCAGCCACAGGCAGCACCCTGCACTTGGCCACCACATGCAGGAGAAGGGCCAGCAGAACAGAGCCTCCCATTCCTAGCAGGCAGGGAGTTGCGTGAGGGATGAACACCACGATCCCTGCGGTGGGTGCTCCACTCCCTTGGCGCGTGCGGAGATGTTTGGAGAGACCTGAGCTTGCCAGCTCATTACCACAGTGCACATCGCTTACGCGTCCTCAGGCTCCTTCCCCAGAGCCTGGGGTCTGGCACGCTGCAGGCTCTTCACAAGAAGGAAAAAAAAATCAAGGACATGGCTTAGTTTCGACTCCTGCTGTTGATACCCCCTCTGATATTCGGGAAGACAGAATAGGGTTAGCCAGGCACTGACAAGATCACTGCAGGAAGGTCAAAGCAGTTCAGCATCAGAAGAGAGGGAAATCAGTGTAGATAAAATCTTCTGCTTTCCCCCCACCTCCCAGACCACACCACTGACTTTGCTCTGGGAAGGCAGAAAGCATTCTGGAGATCAAGATCAAAATCATCAGCACTGGAAGAACTTTCATGCTGCGCAATGATTTCTGCACTCGCCCTACAGCTGCAGGATGCTTCCCCCCCACGCCCCTGGTTTCGGTTGGCCACCACTTCACAATCCACACGCGTTATATTTACACCACCAGCATTGTTTGTAGCGCTACTGAAACCAGGGAGATCAAAATCCTCCTCCCCGAGTGAGATACCTCTCCTCCACACCAAAGCAGTGTGCAAGCACTACCATTCAGATTCACTGGGGCTCTGCAGCAGGAAAGGCACAACTAAGAGGGAGGACATCGCTGCCACCAAGGACTGCATCCCCCAGTTGTCACCACCAAAAAGAAGCTGTATGAGCGGTGCTATCATAGAACCACAGACTGGGTTGGGCTGGAAGGGACCTTAAAGCTCGTCCAGTTCCAACCCCCCTGCCAGCAGCAGGGACACCTTCCACTAGACCAGGTTGCTCAAAGCCTCATCCAACCTGGCCACAAACACTTCCAGGGAGGAGCAGCCACAGCTTCTCTGGCCAACCTGGGACACTGTCTCACCACCCTCACACCAAAGAATTTCTTCCTCACATCTCATCTAAACCTCCCCTCTGCCAGTTTCAAGCCATTTCCCCTTGTTCTGTCATTAACTGCCCTTATAAAAAGTCCCTCCCCATGACACCCTCAGAGAAGAAATGGGCCATCGCTGGGGTCTGTGTAACATTTATGCCCCTAGGAACAGCACAGGCTTTGAAGCAGGGGAAGAACACCCATTGCTGTCGAGTCATGTCTGACCACCCTGGCAGCCCAAGAGCTGCAGTTTCCATGCCTGAACGGAGCAGCCACAGTGTGTGACAGTCCATGTCTGTGCCCCAGAGACCTCCAGCTTTGGTTGGGTAGGTTCATACAGGAGCAACATCTGGCTTGGCCACAGACTTGCTAAGATGCTGGGCAAGACCTGGCACCTTTGTGTGTCCCAGTTTATCAGAGGAAATGTGACAACAACCATCCTCACCAGTATCCTTGCCAGGATCCCCCATGATGGCAGTGGGTGTTCAGGGACCAAAGCAGCCCCTCAACACCTGTGCTCCATGAGCGAGCAGAGCACAGGCTCTTTGCCATTCTCCTACAGCACAGAAGGCACTTTTCTCTTTACTAGAGAAAAAACCCCCAAAATTTACACATTCCCCCAGCAAGAGGGTCCACCACCTGCAGAGCAAACTGCATAGATGGGGTAGAGAGGACCTGGAGAGCACCACCAAACTCACTCAGTCCCCACATGTCCTGCCAGCAGTGCTCTGGGCTGCCTTCTCCACTCTCCTCCCTCGCACAAGATGCTTCTCGATGTTTTCGTGTTTAGCTGAATTTCCCCCCCTCCTCCCCAAGCACTTCTGGCTGCCAAGGGAGCTCAGAGACAGCAACTAAGTGGCACCTACATCTGGTACAGCTTAACTTCTAGTGTCTGTTCTTTCTGGAATTTGAGAACTTCAATACCCAATGTTTGTACAAGTGTGGAATAAAAGCAGCACAGGCTCCGTGGCCTCCACGCTTGCCAAAACTATATTTCAAAATGCACTTAGAAAACCCTACTGTTTATTCATCTGCAACTTTAGAAATTAAAGGACACCAAATCCAACTGCAGATCTGCTGAATGGGTGCCTTTGCATTAAACCAAACAGGTGAGAAGGCCAGGCACTCAGCACAGTCACCACACATATCCTCTCCTCCTGCTTCCCAGATGCCTGGGCCTGTGGGTTATTTCCCCAACCACACTTCCCAGCACCCCATTCTGGTGCTCCATTTCCTCACACAGGAAAGACAAGAGAGGAGCTGGGCTGTACTTGAATAACAAACTGCTAGTACTCCTGAGGTGTCAACAGGCTGACTTTACCAGCGTGTAACAATACAGTATGAACAAAACACAGGCAAGACTGGACACAAGCAGGTGATCTCTTGGTCCTTCACGTCTGAGCTAGCACTGCCATCATCCTTCTGGCCATGAGAAGGGCCTTCAGGCTACAGCTCAGACAGCAGACCTCTACTCTTGACAGACGTGGACATTTTCTTGAACACACACCCATCCCTTCTCCCACATACTGACTTGAAAGAAAATCACTGCAGACACATGAGTGTGAGGGGGCTTTTGTGGGTCCCTGTTGGTGCACACACCACAGTTCACATCTTTCCTAAACAACCAAGCTATGGACAGAGTTCGTGCGGGCTTTTTACACCCTCCTCCATGCAGCAGATACTTTGTCTTACCTTGTCAAAGAATTCATACAGCCTAACCGTTTCACAGATTTGATGCCTGTTTTCATCCAGTTGAGTGCAGAAATCTTCCAGTTGATCCTTGTAGGTCTGTAGCTTCACCCTGTAAGAATGGACATCCACAGAGGAAAAGTCTTCCCATCGATCCATCTTCTTCAGTGCTTCCTGTCCCCTCCTGCAATATTCCTGAAAGCAAAATGGGATTGTGTATCAGAAGAGAGAGATTTGGCATGGACAGTAGATAGTCTTCAAGGTCATTAACAGCTAGGGCTAATTAGACTGGGGTTTAAGGTTCATATCACATGAACAGGGGTGTAATTGTTTACAGTTGAATTCTAGAGAGTCCTGACCTCTGTTATGACTGACATGACCCACACAGCAGCCTGTAAAGGCCTACACAGTAAGGCCACGGGTCAATTAGGATCAAAAGAAGACAGTGTTAACCAGCACATCACAGGATTAACAAAAATAAAATTAAAAAAAAAAAAAAATCAATGTTCCATCACAGTAGTTATTTTCCTCAAAACTGGCAAATATAACCTACTAAAGAGTTGAGCTGGTGGCTTTGTCTACAAGAGGAGAGCAGGGAAGCCAAGCAGTGTAAAGGAATGACACAACCTTGGTGATGAACCCTCTACCAATGCCATCTTAGCATCATGGGTTTGGCTAAGCACGTACAAGGCACATATGGCGCCAGCTCAGACTCTGAAGAATATGTTTTTCCAAGTGGACAACACTTACACTGGCAACAAGATCAAATTCCCTGAACTGCTTTTGTGCTTGAAGCAGCATCTCCAAAGAATCATCCAGGTTGACCGTTTCCTTCAGTCGTTTTCTGCCAACATTCTCGATCCAACTGCTGACCTAGGAGAAAAGGGAAAAGCTCCACTATTAGTCACGCTGTGCTACTCACCAAGGTAGGCCTTTATGTGGCTTTAAGAGCAAGGGCTTGCTGGGCATTTCATTACTGGAAAAAAAGGTGCGTGTACACTTCTCCCCCCGTGCTGGCATTTCAGCCTGAGCCTCCTGCTAGGAGTTTTTCCACTTCGGGTTACTGAGTAATTGCAAAGCTCTGCTATTGCTCACTAGCCTTAAGCATAAACAGGGCAAGTAGCTGCTTGGGCTCTGTTGAGGTGAGCCACGGTCTAACGCAAGCCCTGCGACCTGCAGGCTGGCCTGACTGATATTCGTGTTACCCCCAAGTGGGATAAAATCTCCCTGCTGCCAGATTTCTCACACCACTTCCCTTTTCTGACTGGCAGGACACGAACTACATCCGTGGGAAACGCCTGACGGATCCTCCCCATCTTCAGTGTTTCACAGTTCTCTGTGACACTCAGTTACTGGCTTTTTTGAAGGTAGACTGCCACAAAGCCACGAGGTAACTGCAGGTTCCTCGACAGAGCCCAGCCACTGCCATGGTTATAAGCCTAAATTCTCAAACACAGGTTGAAAACTGAGTAACCAGAGTGTCCTAAAAGGAAAGCAGATAGAGGAGGCTAGGCAGGATAACACAGCATCTCCATCAACAGGGGTTTAAGAACAGGCTAGTGAACTTGTCTGCAGTGCTTCAGGCATAGCTGCACCTGGGGGAAGGGACGGACTAAATGCTTCCTAATGCCCACGCATCCTGTTTTCCTGCATCATCTCAATCCATATCCCAACTCAACCCGACAGTCAAGGACAAGCTCCTGGTCTTCTGGACTGAGAGGGTCTGTGCCCATGAAACAAGCCCCCTGGCAAGAGGAGGAGATGGGGTGTGTTCCCAGGTTGTGACCCCACTGCAGCAGGGCACACTGCTGCTGCCCAGAGCTCCTAGGCAGGATTAAAAGCGGGAGCAGCTGCTGCCATCAGTGGTGATCTGCAAGCAGAGTAAGCCAGGAGCAGTCAGTTTTGCTCAGTTCAATCAAAAAAAGTTCAGCTTAAAGCAGGGGCAGGCTGCAGAGCCTGCCTTTGTGGCTTTTTTCATTTCTGATTGGTATTAGGAACCTGTGTGTTTAAGGGAGTCTTAACCAGGTTCTTGCATCGCCCTTGTCCTGAACACACAGTTGCAGAGCGTCCGAGCTCTGCCTCCAAATGGGAAGTCATTAAAACTCCTGGGTCCACCTTGGCCTCTGAAAACAACAGGTAGGCTACAGACTCCTCTGCAAATCCAGTTCTCCCCAGAGGACGAGAGCCCAGAATCCTAGCAGAGCAACCATGAAACTGGTCCTAGTCCTGATCTTTAAGGATGCGGGTTCCTGCGGTGAGCTCCAAACAGCCCTCAACCCTTCACACGCAGACAAGGTGATACACAAAACTTCTCAATGTTGACAAGTCACAGCAACTCCATTATCTCAAGGTTAAGTTCAAGATTAGGAAGCCTGATCTGGGATCTGCAACACTGAAAGAACTGATCAGATCTCGTACAATGCTCAGAGAGCCTGACTTTTTAAGGTTTTCTATCTACATGGCTAGAGATTTCACTGAAAAACAGTGTCTGTTTGCTTAAGTCATCCCACGGCTGTAAAGAGTTTCAATGAGCACCACAGGAGGGGAAGTTTAAGCTCCCACAGAAGCACAGTGGGGTGGGGGGGCATTGAGCGTGGCTCTTGGGCAAGGACAAGAGGCTGTTCACTCATCTACAGATTGTATGCAGGGCTACACCCAGAGGGGAAGGAGTGCACCCAGGACAGCACCCAGAGGGGAAGGAGTGCACCTGGGTCCTATCAGAGAGCAGGGACCTGGGCACTGCACAGGAATCTAAACAGAGTGCACAGCAGGGATGGGCAGCTCGCCCCGGGTGTGCATCGTGTGACTCATTCAGCAGCAGGATGGAGGCAAACCCAGCAGGATCTACAGCCCACAGGGGGGACACAGACTCATCATCAGCTTCTTACCATCACTCTGCTGCTTCTCAAGGTGGAACATGAAGAATGGCTCCTCAGCAGCTTTGCTGGGAGGGTACTTTTGCTGACCAGTGTGAAAAGACACCCCACTTCCAAATGCACTGCTAATTAATGAGCCACTGCACTGTGGTCTTTAAGTATGGAAAAAAAAAATCACAGATGTTTATGGGCTTTGACTGATCCACACCAGCCAGGAGAGAAGACTTTTACTCAGCATCAAAAGATACCAGGCAAACAGTGGCTTGGTTCTCAGCACATCTGAAAATGAACCCCGAGTTCTAATGTTCAGTCGTCGATGTTCATTTTAAGGATCTACAGGCACCACTCTGCACCTTCACCGGGGAGACCAACAGGCCCAGTACCTGCTGCAAGATGCACAGTCAGAGGGTGGCAGCAGGCAGTCACGGGAACTGCCAAACAGGCCTTACCTCCTTAAAACATTCTTCCACTTTCTCAAACTCCATCACCAGCTCCAGCTCCTGGATGCGTTTGTTGGACAGCATCACCAGGCGGTGAACACCCTCATCAACCCGATTGTAAAGCACGCTGGCAGCATCCAGTGAGTCTCTGGAAGGGGACACAAGTCTGGTCAGGGGTTTTGCATTAGGTCCTTCCCTCAGCATTTCATGCAAACATGAGCTGACTAACAGCAGCACTTCAGTCATCCTCCCCATGGGACCTGTCACGGCCATCTCCATATGGAAAACAAAGAGAATAATGCTGCTCCCTGAGCATTCCTGTGATTCACCATTCCCAATCCCAACACAGACACCCTGGCAGGAAGGACAAGAGCTTCTCCCCCAGCCAGGCTCCCTGCAAAACTTAGTGCACTTGTCACATTTCAAGAGAGGACACTCAGCTTTTCAGAAAAGCAGGTTGTTGCACCAGTGGGCTTTCACAAAATAGGCTCAGACAGACCCAGGATCTAAAACTACTATTTGAATTTAATTTAAATAAGTAAATAAGCAATCACTAGGAAGCAAATCTCTCCTAAATGACAACAATATAAAGCACTTGATGCCCCACTCAGTCTCAGAAATTTCCACCAGCCAAAGAAATATGCAAAGCGTACAGCACCCCAGTGCCAGGAGAAATCAAATTTTACAATGTTGTGCTGGAAAGACTGAAAGACAGAGCTCCCCATCTTCCATGGGCAGCCGTGCTGACCACAGCCCACCAGGCAACACCAGGCAGCACCCTCCCTGCCAGCGCGGCCACAGCAGAAGGTAACCTCCTCCACACACAGGCACAGACAGAGGGGTTCAGCCTGCAGCCTGGGTCCCTTGGATGCTGGAGCTCTCAGCTCCAAAGAGAAGGACTTGGGAGTGCTG